TGCATCTCAATGGACAAGAACAGTTTCCATCACAATCAGTTTTCCACAACTTCCAAAATAATAAAACAGCTTAGAGACCATGTAAGTTACAAACTCCTATAGAAACAGACATCCATGTGCCAAGTAACACCTAATAGATAATTAGAAGGACACCTGATCATCTTTTCTGCCTGTTTTCAAGTGTCTCATCATCTTCCCTGGCATGGCTTAACCAGGTGTGCATCTCTGAAAGGCCACTTAAATTCAGAAGGCCTCAATCTCCTCATCTGCAAAGTGGGATGAGAGCACAAAACCCTTCAAGCTCTCAGCAGACAGCAGCTCCGGAAGGTGCTGCTTCAGGTTTTACAGATGCTTCCCCACCTGCTGAGCTTCTTCCCTCTACTTCAGCACCACCTCTGAGCTTGTTGGTCTTAGGAGGGCCCTGCCACTGTCCCCACACCCCACCAAGCATGAACGTCTTTCTTCATCCCCCTTTAACACTACCGAGACATGTTCAAGGGGATGGATGGATGAATGGATGAATGGATGGATGGATGGCGGACTGGAAGACAGGAGTTGGGATAGGTGACTTAGTGGGAGGACAGATGGGTGAATGAGTGGATAAATAGAGAGATGACAGGAGGATGGGAGAAAGGTATGTGAAGTCATGGGAGGATAGATGAGTGGACAGACAGATGGATAAACAGATGGATCAGTCAATTCCGATGCCTGCATGTCTAAGCCTAGGGTTCAGTCCTTAGGTTGTCTTTGCAGCCTGGACTCCTCTCACAGTTCTGCTGCCTGCCAGCGACTCCCGAAATTTAACATGTATAAAATCACACTCACAATCTTCTTCCCCAAACTTGATTCCCTCCCAGTGTTCTGCTCCTCAGTGAACGGCAACACTGTCCATCCCGCTGCACCAACCAGAAATATAGGCATCATCCCTGATTCCATCCACTCCCGCCACGCCCATACCCAAGACATCACCACGTCTTACCGATTTTACCTTCAACATCTACCTCTAACCTGTTCATCTCTCTCCAGCTCCAGGGCCACCATCACTTCCCTCCCGGGCTAGTGTGCTCACCACCTCTCAACCTCCCTGCCTCCATTCTGTCTTGCCCCCAACTAACTCCCCACTACCAATAAAGCAATCTTCTCAAGACGCAGGTCTGGGGACTTCACTGGTGGTCCAGTGATTAGGATTCCGCGCTTCCAATGCAGGGGGCGCGGGTTCGATCTCCGGTGGGCAAACTAAGATCCCACATGTCACGCAGCCAAAAAAACCCAAAAAACAAACGTAGGTATGATTATGCCACCACCACTCCTCCAATATTGTTTAAAACATTCTTATGCCTTCCACTGCTCTCAAGATCGAAAGCAGTCCTGTCCCCTGCCCACTTCTCCCGCCTCGTCCCACACCCTGACGAGGTCAGACCTCCCGAAACATTCACTCACATGCTTCCCAAACTTGCGGCACGTCTCATCACGGCAACTTGACATTTATCTCTATCACTCCGTGGTGAACGTCTGTCAGTAAGCTCCACAAAGGAGAGACCGTGACTATGTTGGCTTTGTTTTGGGGTCAAGCAGGCTTGGGTGCAAATCTGGGTTCTGCCCCTAATTAGCCATGTGAACTTGAACAAGTTACTCGGCCTCCATAAACCTCCTTCCTGCACAATTAAAAAAAAAATGGAAAAAATATCGTCCCCCTCCACAGGATACCGTAAGGACGGAATTGAATAATGCACGTAGAGTGGCTGACAGAGGGTATGGTCACCGGGAGGATGTGTCATGACTGGCTGGGAACAGCAGCAGAAAGGTGTGCGTGCAGACCCTGCTCACCCCGCAGCCAGCTGACCCTGAAATGAGCTCTACCCTGAGTACAAATCTTCAAGCAGGCCCAGAAATAGGCTCCCCGAGATGGGCCTCAGTGGATAAGAGAGGAGGGGCTGACTTTCACACTCATTACCCGGGGACCTTCTCTCAGGGCCCTGGAAGGGTGGCTTCCCTCCTAACAGGAGAGAGCGAGGGGCAGCCTGCCCCAGCCCTCCACCCGGGAGAAAGGGTGTTCAGGGCCTATTCAGTGCCCAGAAGGGTTTAGGAACCCAGAGACCAGCCTTCTTAACAGGTCCATTTCTTTAAGTCCCCTCCTCCCTCAAGAGCCTATGGGGGCTCCCCGCTGCCTACAGCATCAGGTACAGTCTCCTCTACCTGGAATCCCACCTCCATCCTCCGTCTGGCACCTGGCACCCCAGAGCCCACCCTTCATCCAGACAGGCCTCTTCACCAGCCTCCATACTCCTTCTCCACCCCAGGCTCCGCCCTCCATCCTGGAAAGCCTTCTGTCTTCAGGTGTCCCTCTCTAAATCCTTCCCCACCCCTCAAACCCCACCCTCTCCGTCTTCCAGAAAGCCCTCTAGGACTGACCCAGCCCGCACTCATTTCCGTCTCTTCTGAGGGCCTTGGGCCTGATGCCTCCAATGAAAGGCTAAGGTCTGACGTAAAACAGACCCATGTGGATGCAGTCCCCAGCTTACTACTGTTAAAAGACACATTTTTTAAAGGATAAAATCATGAATGTTATACAAATATAAAATAAACAACACATGTCAAAGATTTCATTTAACGGATTAATTACTTAGGGAAAAATAAGACGTTATACACAGTTTAAAGGAGAATCCGAAGCACAGCCACAGTATAGCTTTTAGCCCCCTCGCTACAAGATCTCAACTGACTTCACCTGATAAAGTGCATTTGCACCTTAATGGACAAGAACAATTTCCCATCACAGTTTTCTACAACTTCCAAAATAATAAAACAGCTTAGAGACCACGAAAGCCACAAACTCCTGTAGAAACAGACAACCATGTGCCAGGTAACACCGAATCGTCAATTCGAAGGACAGCTGGTAATCTTTTCTGCCTGTTTTAAAAGTGTTTCATCATCTCACCTGGAGTGGCTTAACCAGGTGTGAATCTCTGGAAAGTCACTTAAATTCGGTGGGTCTCAGTCTCCTCATCCGTAAAGTGGGATGAGAGCACAAAACCCTCCGTGCTCTCAGCAGAGAGCAACTCCAGAAGGGGCTGCCTCAGGTTCTACAGGTGCTTCCCTGCCCCCGGCTTCCTCTCGCTACTTCAGCACCACCTCAGGGCTTGTTGGCCTTGGGAGGACTCTGGTCCCTGACCCCACCTGCCACCAAGCAAGAACCAAGCCCTCTTCTCCTCCTTCATCCCCCTTAACATGTTCAGGGGGACCATTAGCAAAAATCAGAGGGGAAGAGGAAAAATCTTTTTAAAGCTGGTGGGTTAGGTTTTCCTCCCTCACCTCGTTCTCTTTTTAGAGCATGGTGTACTCCCCACCCCCAAAGCCAAGGCAATCTGGAGAGCCGGGCCCTCTGTAACGTAATTCAAGGCTGGGAAGATGCTTTTGACATAATTCTGTATAAGGGATATACTAGTACAAGGTAACCTTCCTGAAGGGTGTGATGGGATTGTCTGATTGCCGCGCGGCTTGCGGGATCTTAGTTCCCCAACCAGGGACTGAACCTGCACCCTTGGTAGTGAAAGCGCAGAGTCCTAATCACTGGACCGCCAGGGAATTCCCTGTGATGGGTTTTTTGGACAGATATCCCACCCAGAGGCCAGACCATGCTGACGGCCCTTCCTCCTTCCCTCCTCCACCCTTAGTATCAGAAGATTCCCCCCAACAATAGGCTTGATAAGTTGACCACACCTATGAGTGACAGGGGTATTACAGAGCACACTCTAGGGCAGGTCCCCACAGCCTGGCATCTCACTGTCCTCAGATGGCACTGCGTAACCTCTCCCAGGCTCCTCCCTCCAGCCTCCCTAACCCGCCCTTTGGTGTAGCAGACACTAAATATCACTGTGCTTCCCTGGAAATGTCCCTCCTGCAAGTCTGACCCCATACAGAAGAAAGCTTCAAAACTATATGGACGTACCCAGCGAAATCAAGAATGATCACAAGCATGCACAAACTTACCCACGAGGATGTTCACTGTGGTGCTGTCTAGAAGTGAGAAAAACTCAAAACTGAATGCCCAGCAGTAGAGAACTGGTTAAATAAAACACAGTACAGCCATCTCATGCAAGCCATGAGAAGTGTGACACAGAAGAGGAGAGAGTTAGCAAGCTCGCTCCATTAGGGACACTCGTAGAGATGTGAGATTGAAAAGAAAGAAAAAGAAACCTCAACATTAACAGTGACCAGCTTTGCTGTTCTTTTTCCACCTTTTTATGTTTCTCCAGTGCCCTGTTTATGGAGGTACAGACAGGCAAATCAATATAAGCCAACTCCCCAAACCTAGACCCCAACACCACCATGCCCAGCGGAAACCAGTTCCCATTCCGGGCTCCAGTGTGAAGAACAAGCCAGATTTGCCAGCCCTGCGATGCTCAAACAGAGGGTAGAGGGGGGTGAGCTCTTCATCAGCTAGAGCCTTCCACAGGCCGCGCCACAAAATACACATACACACAGTCTTGCCAAAGGGGACAGACTACAGGTAAAACCACTCAACAACCAGTATATCCATCCTGCACAGATCAGCAGGGGTCTGCTTAGGAAGGTCAAGGTCACTTTTAGGAGGGTTGCACAGCGGGGCACGGCCCTGGCCTGGGAGTCCTAGAGCCTCCGATCCTAGCTGCCTAGCCCTGGCCTGCCCCTGCTTTCTCCAGTCCTTTATTTTTTCATCCATAAAATAAATGCATGGGGTTGGACAAAGGGCCCCTCAGGTTCCATTTCTTAGGACTCAGAAATGTTTCCCTTTATTCTGGCCCCATGCCCCACATAGCACACACGCCTCCCGATGGCCCCAGATGGAGCTGGAATCCCTCAGCCTGGGTCCCTCCACCCCCCTCAGTCTGGGGGATGGGGTAGGCAGTGCAGGAGGCAGAGCCCAGAATGAACAGTTGCCAAAGGGGGCGGGGAAGTGTCCTTACCCACCAAGGCTCTAGACCATGCAGGTCTCTCTGCCTCCACCCAGGGAAGCCCAAGACATGGTGACTGTCAGAGGTGGGCTGGAGTGAGGTTTGTTTTCTCCACCAGAGCCTGCTCTGCTCCCACCCTCCCTGCAGTGCCACTGTCTGCCTGGCTTCTCTTCCACGCCATCCCTATGGCTCCTCCCCTTCCCCAAGTTTTATCGTCAGTATGTGCAGCTCCTTATCCTCATGTTTTATTTCTGACAACCACTTATTAGCTGCCATCGACAAAACGGGGGTTAGGAGAACTATCAACAAAGTATTTCATCAATTCATTCATCAAATTTAGAGTGCATGCTCTGTGCAGGCCCCCAAGGGTCTCCCTCCTGGGACTCCCAGTTAAGTAGGGGAGATTAAATAAATGATTCCACAAATAACTGGAAAGGACCAGGACTAGCGAGAGCGCAATAAACCGGAGCTCTAGTGTAATAAAGAAAGGGAGGTCTGGCGGATGGGGCTGGGCTTGTCCAAGGCCCCAAAGTAGAGTGGGGACAGGGCAGGTCCGTAAGCCAGGAGCCCCCCCCCTGAGCCAGGCACCCCTTGAGGCAGGCATGCATCTGCCAGGGTCAAGCTCTATGCCCAAGGTTTGGGGATAGGGGGATACAGAGGGCATAGGATCAGGCCAGGAGTAAAGGAAATAGGCAAGCTGGTCCCTCAGGAGAGGAAGGCTTCAGCCGGGCCTAGCTGACATCCCTGAACACCCTAGAACTCACCGCGCGGCAACTGGGAGCAGGAGGCTCTGCCAGGCTCGTCTGCCCCTCCCAGTGGCCGTGACAGGGGTCCCCTACCGGGATGCCCAGGCTTGCCTCTGAACAACCTGTCTGGCTGTCCTGCCCTGCACGTATCGTTTGTCTGCCCTTCTCTGCACATGTCTGAGTCTGCGCCTCTGCTCCCGCCTATCTGTATGTCACTCTCTACACACGCCTGTCCGTCTGTCCTCACACGTCTGGCTGGCACGCCGGCCTCCCTGCATCTCTCGGCCTCCTCGGCCGCGCCGCCCCGCCTGCCGCTGTGTGGGTGTCGGGCTGGCAGTGCGCAGAGGGGCGCGGCTCGGCCCTCCCCCTCCGCCGCGTCCCCCCAGCTCAGGAATGACCCGGGCGGCGGCCCAGCGCTGCTGAGGCCCCGGAGCCGCGGCGCAGGGCGGCGGGAGCGGGCGGCCGTGGCGTGGGCGGCGGTGCTGGGCCGGCGGGCGGCCGGGCGGGGCTGAGGCAGGGCCGGGAAGCCGGGAAGCCGGGAAGCCGCCGCCACCGCCTCGGCCGGGGATCTCGGGCCCCGGGTGGGCTCGGCAGGGCCCCGCCCCGCCACGCCCCTGCGCGCCGAGCAGGCCGAGGCGGAGCGGCGCGCCCCCCGCGACGCCGGAGCCCGAGCCCGAACGCAGCGGCATCCAAGCGGGAACCGGAGCGGGAGCGGAGCCAGAGCGGGAACCTGAGCTGGAGCCGAAGCTGGAGCCGGCAGTGCGGCGCACGGAGCGGAGCGAGGCAGCCAAGCCGAGTAAGGGGCGTGGGGCCGGGGGCGGCGCTGGGGAGGGGCGGGGAGGGGGGTCCCGGCCCCTTCCCCCGCGCTCTGCTGCGGCCCCGGCGCAAGCACACACCCGGGGTCGCTCAGCGCGGTCCGCGGCGGATCCGCAGCGCGCTCCGAACAGGAACCCCGCTCTCCCGCGGACCCCGGCCCCGACCCCCGCGCCCCCGGGCGGGCCACCGGGACTCGCGCGGGCCGTGGCTGCCCCTGAGCATGCCATCGGGCCGCAGGGACAGAGAGGTCTCCCGGTTCTTGCCCGACTTGAGTCCCAAACAAACATCCACCCCACGGAGGGAGCATAAGACAGTCTTCACGACCCCGCGCCCTCGGTTTCGCGGACCCCTGAACAACCCACCCAAGAAGGGTAAACTAGGACGCACTTTTCGTCGGGGTAGGAGAGGAAAGGGGCTCTGGGCTTTGTGGAGTTTGAAGCTAGAACCCACCCCCGTCCCTCGAGCCGGGAAGTTTGACCCTCCGGCGGGCGGGCCACCAGGGCCATGCCCCCGCTTCGATGCCTACCACGCTGGCCTGTCTCAGCACCATCGGTGGGAGAGGTGGTGTCCCCGCCGCACCTTCTCCAGCTCCGGGGCCGACTTTCCCTGGCGCGGTAAGCGGGACTCGAGGCTGAGTCCGAGGCGGCTGCTCTGGCTGGCTGCGCAGCGCCAAGCGGTACAGCCGCCTCTCCCTAATCGCTCTCGGAAGTTGGGTAGTGCCCACCAGACCCACGGCAGACTCGCACGACCCTCCCCCTCTCCCCATCGGCCCGGCGGTCCTGAGGCTGGCGCGCGGAGGACCCAGGGCTGCCCTCCTGATCCCACGCGCCGTGCCAGCGGAGATGGCCAGGCCCAGGCTGGGAAGGGGAGGGCACCAGTGACAGGTGTGAGCGGCGGGGGCTCCAGGAGCTTGGTCCTTGGTCTTGATTCACACAGTCCATGGGCACCTGCCCTGCGCAAGCCCCCCCTGACTCTCCTCAAACATCCTGACTGCTCTACTGGAACAAGTGGCTTCACCTCCCTGTGCCTCAATTGCCTCTGCTGACAAGTAGGTAGGATTCTGTGGTGAACAGAGTGTTTAAGGGCTTTGGAACCAGAGGGTGGGCTTGGAAGACTTCGTAGCCGTGTGATGTTAGGCAAGATACTTAACCTCTCTGAGCCTCAGTTTCCCCATCTGAAACATGGGGAAGATGGGTTGGGAGGTGAGGCGATGCTTGTAGGGGGCCTAGCATGGTGCTTGGCACTCAGCCCTCACTCAATTCAGGTTGACCACAGGTGTCGTTCTGTGAAGCACGCAGCACCACTGGGTGCTGAGGCAGAGCGAGTTGCCCTGAGGTGGCGGCGACACGACCCCCTCCCAACCCCCCAAGCCCCCCTCCAAGGAGGCCTTTGAATCCCCCAAGGGCTTGTTGACATCTAACTGTGGTGCAAATCCCTCTCTTTAGGGCCTGCCCTTTCTCAGCTGTTCCCTCCTCCCCGGGCGATCTGCTTCCCAGCGGTGCTCGCCTCCCTACCTGTCATCTCCATCCAGGTTGGGAATGACCGTATCTGATCAGCTCTTTCTTCTGCCCTTGACTGATGTCCGCTGCTCACACTCTGTGCGAGGGAATTCACACCTCCCTCCGCTCCGGGGACCGGGGCCTGGGGAGGACTGCTTTCCCTGCGGAGCAATCAGACAGTAGACAGTCAGGTGGCTTGGGTGTTCCAGTGGTGACAGTTCAGACAGGCAGTGAAGAGCCGCAGGGGGAGCAGCCACCAGGGCAAGGAGACAGCGGGAAGTCGGAGGGGTCCCAACCCTGAACCTGCGCTGACCGTGGTGTGTTCATCCAGGCGACTGAGCCACGAGGCACCAGAAATGATAACCCTTGGAGAGGAAATGAAGCCCGTGGCTGACTGAGAGGTTAGAAGTTCAGAGCTGGAAGGGCCCCAGGAAGAGATCTGCCCAGTCTGTGCAGCTGGGGCTTCAGACCCAGAGCAGAACCAATGAGGCCCAAGGCCTGGGAGAGGATGCTGGAATCCTTGGGGTGGCATGGAGGGTGTAGGTAACCAGGAGCATCGTTGGGAAGAAAACAAGTGTCCAGCTTGTGGACACCCGCGTTAGTCCTGCTCACCTGTGCCCCAGCTGTGAGAACGGGGGGATGTGGGGGGTCTGTCCATGCTGCCTGGTGGGGACCTAGTGAGACAGGCAGAATGGGCTGCCTCCTGGGGGCTGTTTCTACACAACCCCCCCCCCCCCCCCCCCTCTTTCTCCTTTGCCCCCCCCCCCCCCCCCCCCCTTCACCCCCCAGGGAGTCACATCCCAGCATCTTCCATAATCCTCACCTCTTCTTCCCAAAGGAGTTAATCAGAAACTAACTTAGGAGGTTTGTGTCACCTGGTTCACAGAGTGGAGTTAGGCCGGGCAGCAACGTGATGGGGATACGGGCACCTCCTTCAGTCTTGGGGAATAATCAGTTAGACACACTCAGATGCCTGTTACCTGAAGCCTTTGCCCTGGAAGTGCTCACAGCACAGGGTAAGGGACAAGAAGGTGGCAGCCAGCTCTCAGCCTCCTGAAGAGAGAAACTGAAGCCAGGAGGGCTTCTGAGTCCCCCTGGCACAAAGTACAGTTGTGGCTGAGAGCACGGCTTCTTGGAGCTGGACTGCCTGGGTTTATGGCTTGTGATTCTGGGCAGGAGATTGACCTTTCAGAGCCTCAATTTCCTCTTGAAAAGGGGAACAAATAGTCTACATCTCCCACTATAGTTGTGAGGACTGGAGAAACAATATACAGGAAAACACGTGGCAGGGACGCATGGACCCCTGGCAATGTCCTTGCTATGTCTGCATTGTGAACATGCACTGAATGCATGCTCTTTCCCAAGCATAAGTATTTTCTCTCTGGAGTCTGAGGACAGCCCTCTGATCTAAGTACTATAATTGCCCCTATTTTATAGATGAGAACACTGAGGCTTAGAAAGGTTAAGGACTAACTTTGCTAAGTATAGAAAACTTAAAACATCACTATGACTCATCATAATTTTATGAGTTTGTAAAATTGATAATTAGCACATTGCATCTTAGACGATATGTAATTAGTTAATGGAATGCTTCCTCAATGGAGATCTTCAATCATTGTATCTTTATGTGTTAATTGCCCATGGGCTATAGAATTTTTAGAGACATCCTCATTTTTTTTCTATTCAAACAGTATCAAACTGATTTAAAAGAGCAGCTCCCGCCGCATTTATTCCCTCTCTCTCTTCTCTCCATTTTTCTCCATAGCGCTTATCACCCCCAACATTTATATATCTTACTCATTTGTTTATTGCCTCCCCTCATCAATATAATGTAAACTCCCCAAAGGCAGGGACTTTTAACCATTTTGCTCACTCTCATATCCCCAGGGACTAGAACAATAACCAGCACTTCGTATGCTTTGCAAATTATAAAGTGTTTTACAAACATAAGGTCTATTATTGTTATTATTATTGCCAAGTGTCTAGTTTGCCTGAAGATAAACCTTAAGGTTCATGGCAGAAACTGTTCTCTCGAAAATCTGGCAAATAGGACCTGCTCAAGCGCCAGGGAAAATGTGATGAAGGTTAAAAGCAGTGGAGATTATTTTCCTAACATGTTAATAAAGCTCCTTATCAGTAAGTTCAAAGACAAGTTAACTTTTTTAAATTTTGGCAAAAAATGGAACGTTCAAAGGCAATTACATTAGCGTTTAAAACTTCCAATGAGTTAACTATCACTGATTTATTCAGTTAATTATTCTTTATTTTGTTAGCATAAAAGGTGTTTTCAAATCTTCATTTTAATGATTTTTCAGATTATAAAAGTAATACATGTTCATTGAAGAAAATTTGGAAAATCATTCTTAAAAAATAAAAGAACATAAAGAGCCTCCTCCATCCCACCACTGCCCAGAGAGTTCGTGACCGTGGGTATTTTAGTCTATTTCCTTTTAATCTTTTTCTATGTGTGAATATTTTCTCTAGTTTTTTTTTTTTTCCCTTACAAAATAAGGATCATATTGTAGGCAGAGTTCTAGAACCTGCTTACCTGGTGGGGTTCCCCCCCCCGCTTAACAGTATACTGAAAGTCTTTTCTGTTATTAAAATTTCTTTAAAAACATGATTCCATGGCTTTACAATATTCCATTATAAGCGTATGCCAAACTTTTCTCAGCCTCTCCTCTCTTATTGGACACTGGGGTCGCATCCCATGTTTCACCACTGTAATAATACTTTTCTATGTCCTCTTTGGTGTTTTCTGGGCCCTGAATCAGGCTTCTCTACACCCTTGGTCAGGACCTATTTGCTGATTTGCAGATGGACCGGTTTGTGTAGTTAGTCAGTATGTCAAGTCTTAGAAGTTGGGCCTTGGTGGCAGCGGGGAAGGCAGCTGACCCAGTAGAGGACTACTCCAGGTAAATCAAGGCAACCTGAAGACCCAGTAACCTCCACGCATTTCCTGACCAACCCAGTGTAGCACACATGTGGCCAGATGTTGCATGGGGACAGAAGGCCTCCTTGCTGCAGAGGCTGTCACACACTTGGATCCCTCTTCTAACATCAGGACCAAGTTACTTGTTTGCAAACCTCCGTGTCCTCTGCCAGCCTCTCTGCCACCGTCCTCTCACTCTTTTTCATTTGCTTCTTCATTTAATCACATGACAAACGTTTACAGGCATACCTCGTTTTATTGCTCTTCATAGATATTGCTTGTTTTTACCAACTGAAGTTTTGGAGCAACCTTGCGTCAAGCAAGTCTTATCCATGCCATTTTTCCAACTGTATTTGCCCACTTCATGTCCCTTATGTCACATTTTGGTGATTCTCACAACATTTCAAACTTTTTCATTGCTGTTGTATTTGCTGTGGTGATCTGTGACCAGTGATTTTTTTTTTTTTTTTTTTTTGCTGTACACGGGCCTCTCACTGTTGTGGCCTCTCCCGTTGTGGAGCACAGGCTCCGGACGCGCAGGCTCAGCAGCCATGGCTCACGGGCCCAGCCGCTCTGCGGCATGTGGGACCTTCCCGGACCGGGGCACGAACCCGCTTCCCCTAGCATCGGCAGGCGGACTCTCAACCACTGCGCCACCAGGGAAGCCCT